GGGGATGACATCCAGATACCAGTTAGAGATGTGGCTTACCCCTACTTTCTCCACTTTTTCCTCTACAGAACTCATTCGTAACAAAGCCTTGACGATGTACGTTGTTCAGACTTCCGCTGAAATGCGTTTCTCCCGGATTCCTAGCCAGTGGAATGAGACGATGGTGGTGTTTGTCTAGGCACGGATGTTGAGCATGTAAATAAAGCGCTCCTTCCCTGGTACATTTCCTTTGGGGTAGAACAAAATGGTTTTAAGGAATCCTGGTTTCCATCCAGCTGATACAGGAATCTACAGGAAGGAAGAGTGCCGAATTCTCTGGAAGAGGGAAAAAAGGTCCTTTGCCCGGGCCAGGCTAGCACCTGTAGATGGGTGAATAAAATTTGCTATTAGGTGTGAGGTTGAACATTTCCTTGCTGTTTTTACTCTGGATCTTTGAAGTGTTGTCAATTTTTACTCTTTTTTTTTTTTTTTTTTTTTTTAAGTAGGCTCCAGGCCCAGTGTGGGGCTAGAACTCATGACCCTGAGACCAAGAGTATGCTCTACCAATTGAGCCAACCAAGCCCCCCATAGTCAATGTTTAGAACACAAATATGTTGTATTCCACATAAAATCTTCACACGATGTCCTCTTACAACTGTATAAGCTTTGAAAACTCAAGAATCGTGAGCTTTAAAAAAAAGAAAAAAGACTTTTTAAATACTTGCATCGTTCTGAGGTGAATCCTTTTACACAGAGAGCTCTCCTAATCATTGAGATGGGTATTTAACAGGAAGTTCTATATGTCGGTCCAAAACAACCCTGCTAATAATCCTGGTGAACGTTACTGTCATTATTAAAGTCCTTAAACACTGCAGGTACCTAACGATCAAATTAACGTGGCATTGTGATGGTGCAGCCGACTGTGAAAACTGTTCCTTCCAAAGCCCTTCGTGCTCCTTTGTGTTTAGGCATCCAGCTCAAGCGTTCCTGTTGCACCTGACAATCTCCGGGAAGATGGCCTTGGGTGTAGGTCAGGGTCCCCACTGACGGGCTGCCTTAGAAACCCAGCTTCCTCTCGGCTTTACCACGCCGGACTCCCTCCCGTTTAGGGAACAGACTCGTATTTAATGTGCTTCCTACTGGCAACTCCAGATGGAGACAAAACCTAGAAGGCAATATTGGCCAGTTTTACCCCTTTTTTAAGTAGAAGACCAATGGACAGGATTTTTAAAGTACTTTTCGTGTGCATGAACAATGAGTACATCAGCCTGAATTAACTGTGAGTCCCCTTCCCGTATCCAAGTCATTAGTTGGTGAGGGTGTCTTTTTAGGGGGGAAAATCACCTTTGGAGCCCATGACGTTTTTTAAGCGGTAACAATTTGATGGTCCGACTGTTCCCTTCGTTCTAGAAACTCATGTTCCTAATTCTTATAAATCGTGTTCCTAATTCTTGGGACAGCGTGGAAGACAGCAGGCTAGTTTAAAATTACCTTTCATGTTGAAAAGTCTGAAACGGAAAATCCGGTGAGAATATGGAATAAAATAATTGCTGCCTAAGATTCTCTTTTTTAAATTTTGGTTTTAAAATTAAAAGTTTGCCATAAACATGGTTTCTGTGTTACTTTTATTAAGAGCAGCAATCGGATACTAAGTAACATCTAGCAACTCTGCTGGACCAAGGCAAATGACAAGTGAATAGAAATCTATTTCTTTTTTTGAAAAAATATTTTGAAATACTTTTTTAAGTGTATCTTTATTTATTTTGAGAGACAGAGCAAGCAGGGGACGGACAGAGAGAGAGGGAGACAGAATCCCAAGCAGGCGCCGCACTGCCAGCACAGAGCCCGATGCGGGGCTCGAACTCGCGAACCACGAGATCATGACCTGAGCCAAACTCACAAAAGAGTCGGACGCTTAACCGACCGAACACCCAGGCGCCCCTATTCTTTCATTTTAAACTAAAAGGCTGCTCTTATTTAGGAGGTATCAAAATACTTAGTACCTCTGGGTTTTATATATATATATATATATATATATGTATATACACACACACACACATACATACACTCCTATATATATATAAACTCCACCGCGGTAACATTTCTAAGTACATATATACATTTTTTAAAAGTTTACTAAAGGTATAATAGGGTATAGATTCTCTGAATTGCTCATGATGTAGTAGGTACCTATTTATGGTACTTCATATGTAATACCTTTGTCATTGTTTCATTAAATAAAAATTGCCAATAACTTGAAAGGTGTGTGTGTGAGGTCACTCAAACTCTGTAAACTGCACGGAAGAATGGTGTCTGTGAGCCCGTAGACGTCACCCCCCCCCAAAAAAAAACAACTCTCCTCCCCAAACAGAATTTTGTGCAATTGGCAGAGTTAAAAAAAAAAAAAAATTCTAGTGATAACCTTCCTCCTTTGACTTGAAATGCTGTACTGAGCATAAACTTTAAAAATGGAATGTTATCGTACTTGGTATTTAAAATGTTCAAAAGTATTATTGGCAAGGAGGGAGAGAGGCGAAGCATATGTTAGAAGTGAAAACAACTTTTCTGAGTAAAAAATAGTTTTACACTGGATTAGATACAAAATGGTGCTAATGTTTCTTTATCTTGATTCTGTGTTTGGTTTGATACTAAAATGCTAATGCCTGACTCATAAGGCCCCTGCTATATAGCTTGGTGATAAGTTAACATTTAAAAAGCAATACTGGGGCGCCTGGGTGGCTCAGTTGGTTAAAAAGCAATACTAAAAATGTGACCTGATCATTTCAAATGCTTTTGAAATGGAGTTTTTGGACAGCAGAGTGAATAGGGAGTAATACAGTGTAAGAACACACTTAATCCCAAATTCTAGGCAAGGAGCTATGTCGAGATTATTGGCCCAGATTTGCTCCCTTCAAGCCTAGTAGCGTAAAAGGGAAATAAATTGCTTCTTTAACACTTATTTCCATTTTGAAAGTCAGGACACCTGCATGAAGACATTGGAAGCTTCTCTTGAGATTTCTTTCACAATTTGCAAAACTGTACTTAAGAACAGTCCCAACCCCCTGCCCCCCTCCCGCCATGTTGTTTTATGGTTATTTTGAGTAGTGCCTTCCCTTTAACATTCTGAAGGAATATAAGGCCTACTTACAATCCCAAAGCTCAGGCGATGAGAATTCTGGGTTGTCTTTTCGAAGAACTATGTATTTGCTTTTAGCTTCTATTTAATATTGCAATTACTTGGAAAAATGTGAATAAATTTAGGATTATGGGCTGAAACTTCTGTGGGAAATACTTCTGAGTAGTAGATCAATGGCTGTGTGTACGATGCATGATCACATTGACTCCTGAATGGGTTTTTTTTCCCTCAGACAAATGTTACCAAGATACACTACACCCAGGAAAAGATGCTTTCTGGATATCCGCTTTGAGTTGAACGATAAGTGTTGTGTCGTCTTTTCGCTCACGTCTTCCCGTTTTGAAAATTACAAAAGCAATAATGCGTGCATGCTTAGAATCGTTCGAAAAGAGGTATGGAGTAAAAGGTGGAAGTTCTTTCGATACCACCCCTGCGCGGAAATTCCTTCTTCGAGGAAACCCGGGTCAGGTTGCGTAGGTAAGCTTGAAGACCTTCTTCCCTAGGCACTTACCTGTGGAGCCACACAGACCCTTTCTTCGGTGCACAAATACGCAATAGTGCCATACGCCTTCTAGACCTTTCTCTCAATATCGCGGGGAAGGCTTGTTGTTCCGGGTTACGTGGAGTTAGCGCACGCCTTCCTTTTCCCTCTCGCTGAACACGGCTGCGAAGCCCGGACAGAATGTATGGCACCACCACTGGACGACACGAAGAAGTAAGTAGCCCCAAGCAGGTTGGGGAGAACCCCAGAATTCCAGGCACCCCCGAGGTGGTGAGTGTGCCCGCTTTGTGTTCCTCTGGTTCTCCCAGCCGTAACGCAACGCAGCCCCAGATGCAGCAGTGGGCACGGTGGTGCCGAGATCCTAGAGAAGCCAGTCTTGAGGAACAAACCCAAATGCTAGAGCCCAGAAAGAGTGGGGGAAATGCCGGCTTCTTCCCCTCCTTTGTCTCCATGTTTCAGGCGAGGCCTCCCCCGGCCGCCAACAGGAGGCCTGCAGGAGCCAAGAGTCTGAGGGAAGGGAATTTGTCTTCCATTTGGTAGAGCTGTGGCACCAAGGAGGTAAGGCTGAGCCCGTGTGCTCGCCCTCCTCTCTCAGGGACGGGGCTCGGTTACAGGAGCGGGCCGGAAGGGGTGGGCTAGAGGACCCAGAAAGTGCTAGGGAGAGAGTAGCAAGGGAAGAGCTCACACAAGTGACTCCGCGAAGTTATTCTCGGGCTCTGGCTCAGCCCTGACCTGCTCACCTGTTCACGCTGTGCACCCGAGGAGCTGGTCCTAATTGGCGTACCAAGCACATCCGAGACCTGAGCTGATAGGAAGATTCCCTCCCCGGGTCTCCCAGGGGTCCCAAGACGGTGACAGATCCAAATAGCACTGCAAAGGCTTTGAAAACCACACTGACGTGAGAACCAGCACTCACAGAACGCATGGCCCAAACCTAACCAGATTGATTACTTGCCAAGACAAAGCTCAGCGTTCTCCACAGGATTGGCTCCCACCTCCTCATGCAACATTCAAAATGCCTAGGATTACTGTAGAGTTCAACGCAAGTCCTCCATTCCGATCAACAGAGAAGAAAGGAAAAATTTCAGGGTCAGGTCATAGCGATGAGGGACCATAAGGCAAGTTGAGGGCCAAGCACAAGCTAGCACAACCCCCGCCCCCGCCCCACCAAGGTGGGATAAGTGTGATGTTCCTCAGGCGCTCCTGGCTGCCCAAGAACAAAGGAAAGGACAGAAAGCAAATGGTTAAACAGCTAGTCTCCATCAGTTTACAAATATCTCATCAATAGATCTCCAGGAACTCCCCACTACCTTAATGCTAATGCTTCGCTAGAGGGAAAAACAACCTTAGCTTGACAACAGCTAGGCCTCCAGTAATCTGTAACTCCTCTTTAGCATATGGGAATCCCGTTAAGAAACTGACGCTTGACTTTACCTCCCCTCCAAACTCCACGGTAGATAAGCAGTCACTCTGCACAACCCCAGGGCAGCTCTTCCTGCCCACGGGTCCTGTCCCCATGCTTTAATGAAATCACCTTTTGTACCAAAGGCATCTTCAAGAGTTCTTTCTTGGCCATCGGCTCCAGACCCCACGAACCCCGCCATCACCCCAAACCCCATCAGTAGGAGTCGCAGCACGAGAAGAGCAAGCATAATGCTGTATAAACATCTGCGGAAATGAGGGGCTGACAACCTCCCGAGTAAGCTGAGTGAACGGGAAACGGGTTCGACCCAAAGAAATCCAAGCCAGACACGTCATAAACAGTCGAAAACTAAAAGACATCTTGAAAGCAGCCGGGAAAAAACGAAACGTTACCTATAGGGGATAGTTCAAATGACAGTCCATTTTTTCATCACAAACTAAGGAGGGCAGAAAAAGGGACACATCTCTTAAAGTGCTGAAAATAACTGAGAACTCAGGATTCTATATCCTGTGGAATATCCCTCAGGAATGAAGGTGAAATGGAGACATCTTCAGATGAGAATAGCTAAGAGAATTCATAGCTGGCAGATCTGCTTTAAAGGAAGAGCCAAAAGATGTTCTTCAGACCAAAGAGGAAACTTGGACCGTTGGGAGTGAAGAAGAAGCAACAATGATAATATTCGGTCTTTGGCCCTCAGTTCCCGGAACAGTTCCAGAACCTTAAAGGCTTGTCTTCATGACTAGCCCGTTTCAATCACACCCGGAATTTGGGTTAATGAAGTGACTTTGGGAAGTGCCCAAGGACGGGGGGGCTGGTTGCCCGAGGAACTCCTGCGATTGGGGGGTTGGAACTGCCAACCTCCGCCCTGACCTCTGGGGAGGGGAGGGGGCTGGAGATTGAGTTCAGTCATCGAGGACCAACCCTCAATCATGCCTGTGTAATGAGGCCTTCACAAAAACTCAGAAGGACAGGGTTTAGAGAGCTTCTGGGTTGGTGAACACAGGGAGATGTGGGAAAAGTGGTGTGCCCAGAGAGCGTGGTAACGCCACACCCCGTCCCCCATACCTTGCCCTGCACGCCTCTTCCATCTGGCTGTTCCTGAGTTCTAGCCTCTTACAATAAACCAATAATCTAGTATGTAAAATTTCCTGATTTCTGTGAGCCGCTGAAGCAATTTATTATTACCAAAAACATTCCTTAAACGTGTCCGCCATTTTTATTGTCCCTTTGGAGAACATAGTGTTTATACCCTGAGGTCTCCTCATGTTGCTCGAACTCCTTTGCTGACTTTGAAGTGAACTTCGTTCTCACGGTGCGAGAATCCATGTTAGGGCTTAGAGCTCATATAATCCAACCTCCTCATTTAAAAAGAGTCAGGGGAGGTCAGAGAGGAAATTGAATTGCTCAGACACCTCCCCCACAGTAAAATGGAGCCTGTGGATAATGGAGCGACCTGTGAGATCAGGACCTAAGCTGAAATCAAGAGTTGGATGCTCAACCCCCTGAGCCACCCAGGTGCCCTGGAAGTTTTCCGCTATTATTTCTTCAAA